TCCAGCAGAGGTTACCTTCCTCACCCTGAATAAAAGTCTCTAGATGGGAAAAAAAAAAACCACATGCACACACTTTTTAAAAGTTTACAGAGCAGATCATCAGTACTACATTCCGCAAACTATACACTTTGCTTCATTCCATGGTTCCAATCCCCTGTGTGCTATATGTAACAGCATTTGCCTTTATTCACTTACACTATTGCATTCCTCTCTGTCTCCCGCTACCTTCATCTTTCCTCGGCTAACCTTCCTCTTGTATATTGCCTGTCCTGTCACCCGTGTTAATTTGTCTACCCTCTAGTCCATGAATAATGTTCCCTTCCCCTACAACCATCAAGGAGCTCTGGTAGCATAGTGGTTACGAATCAGGCTGCAAATCTTAAGGTCAGCAGTTCGAAACTACCAGCCGCCCCACAGGAGAAAGATGAGGCTTTCTGCTCCCGTAAAGATTTACAGCCTCTCTTCCTCCTGATAACTTGTTTCCACTGAGCCCTGTTTAGTCCAGGAGAGTATTCCACAGCAGCAAGTCAGTACTGGTTATGACCACATCAGGCCCACAGAGCATGTGCAGAAAGGACAGTTGCAACCTACAGCTGAACCCAGAACAAAAGAACTTTGGTCAAGGAACAAACATTGCAGGAAACATATCGCCAGACCAAAATGGACAACATTTAGAAGCAGGGAGTCCAACAAGCCACTTCCTGGCCAAGGATCCTAACTCTGTCCTAGTGCATATGCATGACCATTCCTCTGAAATCTGTTACACATTCTTTATCTCTAATTTACTTCCGGGTGTGTATGTTTAAAACTGCAAACCCCCTTTGTCTGGGAACTTGCCTGGGTGACCATCACCTATGTAAAGCCTTCCCTGTCACCTTCTCCTAACCTCTACTGGCAACACTAGGAACTGTTTGTTAAATGTACTTGCATTCTTGGAATAAATTCTATTTGGACACAGTGAATAATTCTTCTAAAATGCAGTATTCCTGATTAAGAATTTTAGGGCTAGGAAAAAAGGAAAACCAGCTAGAATCTTTATAGATCAAAAACAAATGTACACAAAAGGCAAAACATTAAAAAATAAATAAATAAATACTTCTTGAAGATGATGGTTAGTCAATTCCAAGTCCTGGCGATTCTAAATGCCCAGAGCACAACCGCACTCACTGGGGTTCAAGCGGGGGACTGTTTGGAAACAGATCACCAGGACTTTCTTCCAAAGCACCTTTGGGTGGGCTTGAACCACCAACTTTTCTGTTATTAGTAAAGTGCATAACCATTTTTGCCACCCAGGACACAAAACACAAAACACGTAACTAAAAACTTAGCAAAGCTAAAAGGATTTCAGGCCACACTGCTTGCTAATGGAATAAGTAAAAACAAAAGTCAGGTCTCTTGACCACTCAGTTTGACTACTGGCTAAGATATTATTTACTAATTTTATATGGATACTAAATAGCCCTAGTGTGGCAATGAAAGATAAGCACTGGACTGCTAACCATAAGGCTAGTGGTTCAAACACAGCAGCTGCTCCTTGGAAATCCTATACAGGGTCACTATGGATCAGAACTGACTTGACAGCAATGAACAACAACAACAATCCCAATACTAAATTCAAATATTTGAGTAACATTTTCTTTAGAATACCCTTAAAGGGTTTTTAGATCACAACCAACTTATTTCACAGAAAACACTTAAATAGTAAAATATTTTTTCTTAAATTTAAAAACAAGTAATACAACACAACATGTACTGTTGTGGTGCTGTACGAAAAGTACTAGACTGCTAACTGTAAGGTCTACTGTTCACAACCACCAGCCACTCTTCAGAAAACTCTGTACAGGGTCATTGTGAGCGGGCACCAACTCAATGACACTAAACAACAGCCAACATAGAAGTTTTATTGTACTTCCTTTTTTAATATAAAGTTCTATGGTAAGTCCAAGGAGCCCAGGTAGCATACTGGATTACCAACTGGGCTGTTAACCAGTAGGTCAGCAGTTCAAATCTACCAGTTGCTCCTTGAGAGAAAGATGAGGTTTTCTGCTCCCATAAAGATTTACGGCCTCAGAAACCCTACACAGGGTTGCTATGAGTTGGAAGCGACTCAGCGGCATCTCACCACCACGACTGGGAGTCCTTTATGAAGTCAGATGGTTTTTGTTTTGTTTTGTCTCTATCCTAAAAACTTAAATCATTTTTGTCTCTGACCCAATTTGGGTATTTGGAGTCCTGGTGTGGCGTTGTGGGTTAATGCACTGGACTGCAAAGTCGCTTTGAAGCAGTTCAAGCTCACTAGCTGCTCCTTGGAAACTCTATACAAGATTGCTATGGGTCAGAACTGACTCAATGGCACTCAACAACAACAATTTGGGTATTTAGGGGTGTTTGGTAATCCGCTATTACAAATTTATGAGGAATTATGTCTACTATTGTTGTTAGCTGCTGGAGAGTTGGCTCCAACTCATGGTGACCATATGTGTAACAGAATGAAATGTCCTGTCCAGCCATCCTCGTGACGGTTGGCATGTTTGAGCCACTGTTGTGGCTAATGTGTCAGTCCACCCCACTGAAGGCCTACCTCGTTCTCACTGACCAAACATTTTAATAACTGGTGTTTCCAGATGACATACATGTCCAAAGGTGATGTACACAATCCCCTAAGAACATTCTAATACCCTCTAAATCTGACTTTGATTCACTTTACATTCATTAGGTCAATTATTTATCGTGTTTTCAAAGATCAGATCTTTTAGATTCCTATTATTTTCACATATTATTTGATATCCTCAAATCTAACACACACTAAATATTATATAAATGCCCAGTAAACTATACAAGAAAGCTACATTTCTTCCTTCTTTTATTCCTTAGTTAATACAGTACAGGTATGTGAAGGCCATTTTCCTCTAATAGCTGTCTTTCAATTTTTTGTTGTTTATTTGTGACTGATGGGAACTACATGTATTACCAACTAGAACTGCTCCCAAGACGGTGGCAGAGGTGATGGCATAGGGAGAGAGAGCAGCTGAGGACTCCGGGCCCAGGGACCGAGAAAGGCTGTGTGCCTGTGGGCAGGAGGCTGCCTTGCAAAATGTGCTCTTTGGACATTTAAATGAATATATATTTTTTGTTTTGTATATGTACATCAAATATTTTTGCTTTGTTCATTTGAGAAAAATGAAGATGTAAAAGGGAAGCCACACAGTAGAAGCAGGGTAACTGTTGTTACAGGGAAGGGAGTGTAATCAATGAAACAAAACATATAATTGGTGGAAAGTAAAAAAAAAAGAAAAGACCTCTGGTAGCATAGTGGTTATGAGTCAGGCTGCTAATCTCATGGTCAACAGTTCGAAACTCCCAGCGGTTCTGTGAGAGAAAGATGAGGCTTTCTGCTCCTGTAATGATTTATAGCCTCAGAAACTCTACACGTGGTCACAATGAGTCGGAACCGACTCCATGGCATACCACCACCACCATGATGGTTACGGGGTGGGGGGGCAGGGAAAATTATTCACAGGCTAGAGGGTAAACACATGTCAACATGGATGGCAGGGCAGGCAACATACAACAAGGAGGAGGAAAGATGAAGGGAGTGGAAGACATGGGAATGCAGTATTAAAAAAAATAGAAGTCAACACTGTTAACTGTTGGAACACGGAGGCGATTGCAATCATTGTAATGAAACCAAATCTATGATTTGTTGAAGGTAAAACTGATCTGCTCTGTAAACCTTCACTCAATTCCCAATAAAAAGTTGAAGAAAAAAAAAATATATATATATGTATTAGGGTTCTCTTGAATATAATCTTTACAGAAGCAGATCATTGGGCTGATTTCTTTCTTCCATGGTGCTGCTATGGCGGGGGGTGGGTAGGGGTCCAAATGACTGGTTTGGTTGCCAGCCAAGTACAAACCATTTACGCCACTAAAGGACTTTTCTCATACTTCATTATAGCTGTATTTCCTTTATTTTTAAATACAGTTTTATGATAAACATTTCCCACAGTATCCTATAGTTTCTAAAACACTAAGTACACACTAACACATTTGAATTCTACAACCCACTAGTTCTAGTTTCAGATGGTGGGTTCATGACTGAAGTCCAGGTTTTCTGATTCTACATCTTGATTCTATTACACACCACAATGGCTCTCAATGTCTAGGCTGACCCAACGGTGTAGAAAGTACCTCTAAATTATCAGCAAGATGAATCTTTGTAGACACTTTCATTAGTCATTTATTTACACTTTATGTATTATGAGTGGAATGTACAAAATGTTCCAATACTCTTCAGAGTATGAATTTTTATAAATACACACATAAAATAAATAAAATTTAGAAGTTGCCAGGTACAAGCAAAACATCAGTTTTTACCAAAGATCCTAGTATATTTAAAACAAAAATATATAATCAAAATGTCCATTTGTCCCTTATATATTAAATTTAGTTTGATTTTATTTGAACAAAACAAATACAGTTATAAGCATTTAAAGTGTATATGCTGCACCCAGAATGTCCTTTTCCATAGGTGCTGTTAACCAGGTTTTCAATGTAAGCGTCTATTGTGTGGCTTTAGAGGTGGAATGATACTAGCCCCCAAGCTACGGTCAGGTTCCATGAAGTTAATGAAAAGAATCTGTAGGCAATTCCTAATTTTCAAAAAGCCTACCAGAATTCCCGTTTACTTACATCAAGATGGCTTAGCTTCTTGGCTTTAGATAAAAATTACAAGTGAAAAAATAAAGTACAAATTTGTTAAAGTCATTTGATTTGACAGTTGAAAACATTTTCAAAAACATGAAAACCAAGGGCAGTGAGAGGGCTGGGCAGAAACCAATGAACTCAAAAACTTGTTTTTTGAAGGTTGTTCAGGCGCTTTCTCAGAGCGCCACCTGGTGGACAGCTGGCAACTTTTACCAACATCAATAAAGATCTACCTGCAGGGTGTGCAAATATCCAGTGCAACTCTTCTGCCATTGTTAGCTGACTATACATACCTGGATGAGGTCCAAGATCCCAAGTTCACTCTCTGAGGAATCCACACAAAACACAAAGTAGAGGGTCGCATAATGCCGGTAAATCAGCTTGTAATCAGAGCCACCAATCAAACTGTGGAAGATGGGAAATGTTTAAGTAACTTTAATCCTAATTAAACCTACAACAAGGAAACACTGTGCCAGTGAATGAGAAAGACCCTAAAAGAACAGGCCAAACAACAGAAGCAGGAGATTTCTACCTGGTTAGCAGCAACTGAGGTGCTTAAAGACACTTTACCTCATCTGTTCCCCTGTCCATCTGCCCAGAGACCAAACATCTAAATGAGTAATATCTGAAGCTCAATGATTTAGTAGTTACCAAAACGGAATTGGGTCTCTCCCTGAGCAGCTCATGTTTAAACGAGTTCAAGTTGCATCAGATACCCACCTGGCCCTTGATTACCATCCTGGTTAGGGTTCTGTGTCCACGTGACTAGGACAGGATGTCAGAAGTGTAGCAGCTGAGATGTGCTTATTCCCCTGGTGATGAAACCTAATACAGGCATAATTAACTCTAGGATGAGTGGCTATGAGTAGCCAATCAGTTGAAGGGATGCTTCCTTTGGGGAAGCCTGCTCCCAATAAAACAAACATGTGGGAGGAAGTCTCTCTCTCTTCCACTGGGGACCTGGGACTCTGCAATTGTAAGCCATTTCTTGATAATAAACACACACACACAGAGAGATATTTCACTGTTTTTGCTTCTCTAGAAAACCTGGTTTAAGACAATTACTTACTGCCTGAAGAAGCAATGATGATGAAGGCCACCCAAAAGCGGACACAGGGAGAGAAAACTAAGCTGGTGGCTTACCTTCCACCCTCCAAGAAGTTACAGATATTGTCATCCCGCTTGAGGACTAGATGGAAAGTCTCTCGAACAATCTGCTGTTGAATTTCTTCTGGCTATAAATAAAAGAAGTAAAGTGAATCAGTGGGCAAGTCTGAAGAATTCCGTCCATCAATGGGGAGGGACAGGAGAGAAGTGCTCCTGAGCGATGTGAAAATTTAGTGAAGGTTTCTAGAAAAGATAAAACTGACAAGTGGGGAAAACGGATGACAAGGTTGTACATTAGGAATTAAAACAGGGTGGCGCTGTAGGATAAGCACTTGACTGCAAAGTCAGTTTGAACCACAATATCGAGGGTTCAAGCTCACCAGCCACTCCTCGGAAAGTCTATACGGGGTCACTATGAGTTGAAACCGACTTGATGGCATTAACAATAACATTTACCTAGCTATCTCGGTTACTAACCATTACCATCCTGATAGGTAAGCTGGTATTTCTTTGTAGCTAATAAACAAACAGATCTGTGCTG